AGTCAGACAAGCTGTTACTGAGACCCTCTAGCGTGGCAGTCTTTTGGTGACCTCTACAATGCATAACAGCTACCCATTTAGGCAGCCTCACTTCTTCTAGGATGACTAAAACGACTTCCTGTTTTTAATTTATTTTCCATCTGAGGTGAGGAGTCCCCTTTCTATACAGCTGGCCCATGCACATGCACCATGGCAAAGGTATATATATTGTCAGAATACGCATTGATGGACTTGTCCTTTCCCTACAGTAAGGCTTGTGTGAGCACTGCTAGTTCAGCTTTCTGAGCTGAAGTGCCCTGCAGTAGGGACTGCACCCAGATGATTGAGTCTGTGGTGATTACCATGTCCCAGCTTTCCTTTGCCCTTCCGGTACCAAACTTCCCTCATCTGTAAAGAGGATGGCATCCACCTGCAGCAGGGGCTGAAGGGTCAGGTCTCAAGCACTGGAATGCAGCCAGCAAATCCTGGCAGTTGTCCAAGGGTGCTTCAGGGCTGTTATCTAGAAGCAGCATAGCCTGGTTGATGCTTTGTGTGGCAGTAAAGACTAGCCTTGGGCGGTCTAGCAATACAGTTTGATATTGTGGAATCCTGGCATTTGATATCCATTGGGCTCCCAGTCACTGTACTAGGGACTCAACAGCATGGGGACCTGTTATGAGTAAGTCCTGCCCAAGTGTTAGTTTGTCAGCCTCTTTGACAGGCAGGGCTGTAGCTGACACTGTTCAGAGGCATGCAGGCCATCCAGAGGACACTGGTTCAGGCTGTTTGACAGATAGGCAACCAGCCAATTCCAGGGCCCCAGTACCTGGGTAAGGACTCTTTTTGCCCCCTTAATGCCCTCATGCACAAACAGATGGAATGACATTGTCATCTGGGAGTGAAAGCCCAGGGGTAGGTGCTAGGGCTTTCTTAAAGGGTGAAACGCCTCTTGCTGAGCCTCTTCCCAGATTCAGGCCCTGTCCCTGCAGCTGCTTGATAAAGGGTTTGTGCAGTGTCTGTGAATCCCGGGATCCATCATATAAAATAGCACACTGCGTCTAGAAAGTCCAGGAGCTGCTTTTCAGTTTACGGGGCCAGGATTTGCAAAATGGCTGCTTTGCGAGGTATGATTAGCTCACACTTACGTTGCAGTAGGAGAATCCCAGGAATATGGCTCGCTTGACACACAGTTGGGCTTTCTTCCCAGAGACTTTATACCCTCCTCCTGTAACAAGTACAGTAAATCTTTAGTGCCTTGCAAGCAACTAGCAAAAGAGCTGGCAGCTAGGAGCAAGTCATCAACATACTGAAGAAGAGACAGGTCGGATTGAGCAGAAACAAAAGATTTTAAATCTTGCCTGAGGGCCTCCCTGAACAAGGTGGGTGAGTGTTTGAATCCCTGAGGAAGCCAAGGCCAGCTAAGTTGGGATGTAGCATGGGTTGTGGGGTCTGTCCATTTGGAGGTAACAATAGGCAGGTTGGTGGCTGCCAGTGGTGTGGAAGAAAATGCATCCTTTAGGTCTAAAACTGTCCAGAAGACATGAGTAGGGAGAAGGGGGCTGAGCAGGGTGTTTGTATTACACATAGGAGGAAGGTTGTGAAACCTATGTGTGAATTACACATAAGATTACACATAGCACACTGGGATGAAGGGTTTCTATTCTTTTGTTGACTTCCCTTAGGTCCTGAACAGGCAGTCATCATTAGTCCCGGGTTTTTAGACAGGGAGGAAGGGAGTGCTCCACAGGGCACAGGTCATTTCAGGGCACTTGGATAACGTGTTGCAAGAGACAGGTGGCATGTTTTTGGAGTCGTTACCTGGTGTTTAGGATGGCGGAGTATTGTTTGATATGGATGGGCTCCACCATGCCTAGAGAGTGACTACAATGAGGACGGGGTGTGCAGCTAGCCCCATAGGATTTATTTCTGCCCAGGCAGCAAGGAAATGAGCCTGCCAGGAAGCCTAAATGGCTGGATCTGGTGATGGACATGACAGGTTCAGAGGGAAGGAACAAGGATGTTTCTGAGCATGGCACAGAGACAGTTAACCGATTACCTGGCTGCTGAGCCAGCAAAAGTTTAGCATCCGTTGGGTCAGAGGAGGAAATAATGGCTCAGAAGTTTTGCAGTAAGTCTTGGCCCAACAAAGCCATGAATGTGAAACTGTATTGTGGCCTAGGTTTCCAGTGAGCTTGGTAGAGAGCATGTAGAATTTTACTTAGCTGATGGCTCCCTGAATTTGTGCTGCAACACTTCACATGGGTCCAAGCAGTCACTGCAGGACAGAGTTAAGATCCTGTGTCTACTAAAAAGGACACTGGGTGGCCCCCAGTATTTTCCGTAACCATGGGCTCTTGAAGGCCAACTGAGACAGATCCCCGGACTCCCTATTTGGAGTCATTGTCTCTGGTCAGCACGGTCAGCATTGGTGCAGGTTGTAAAGTCACCTTGGGATTTGGGCACTCATTTTTCCAGTATGCACATTGCTCTTTGTCTAGTGCCAGGCAAGCACTCTTCAATGGCAAGCAAGGTAGGTGCTCAATGGGTGGTTGAAAGTGGTGAGGGAGCTGAGGAGGTGCTGGCAACTGGCTAAATGCCCGGAGGTGGAGGGGGGTGGGCTGAGGCTTGGACAGCAGGGACTAGGCTTTTTGCCTGATGCCTGGTTATTTTATCCTCTGCCGGGACACCTTGCTTTTGTTTTTCGTCATCATGTTATTAAAGAATTTGGGGGCTATTTCTAGGGACTGGACAGTGTTCACGCTTGAAAAACCTTGAAATGTTTGTAGCGTCTATCAGGGGTCAGTGGCAGATAGTGTAACAAAAGCCAAATTGACAGTCATGCGTTTTCAGGGACTAAGGGATCACAAGGTGTTAATGTGCAGTCTGCCTC